ACCTGATGATTAAAAAGTTGAACATAGTTTCTACCAGGTACAGTGTAAATGCTTTGTATTATGAGGGTGTACAGTGTTGCACATGAATAAGCAGAGTAAAATCAAACCCTGTTAATACGGACGTAATAACAAGGTGCCCATTTTAAGTGGGTGTACGTGACGCAGGGTGTGCCTGTAGTTTTAGATAAAGGACCTTGTTAAGTTTAATGTATCAGAAAATGCTTCTGTATACGTTTATGGGTAGTTTATTACTTGATTATGTCTGTAATGCAGGCTATTTTTGATCTTGTGATGAAAAAATGTGTCGTATTTTGTGGAGGATTCAGGGGTCAGTATTATGACTATGGGATGGGCGATACCCCCAGCACTGTCAATAAGAACTATTTCAATTAGTAAGTAGGGAATTGATCTGCTAAGAAGTTTTTTGGTTCTAGTGTTCTTTTGTTTCCTTTGCAAGCAGCTAACTTAAAGGTTCATGCTTGTAGAAGTGGTTAGAAGACAGTACTGACCCTTTTAGTCCCAAAAACAAATTCCCCAAATTGATCTCCAACCTTTTTTTGTAAGATAAGTTGAGGGAACTTGCTGAAAGATCAAAAGCATTTTCCCTTTGAAGACGATTTTTGTAGCCTTTCTTCTTCTTGAATATGTATTGACATTGTATAGAGAAAATTATTTGTCATCACTCATGGGACTTAACAGGTCAAGAGTAGGGGCTCTTACATGTACACGCCTGTACGTACGGTTTTCCTTGAACTTGTCACTAGATACCTTGTTTAATGTGTTACGTAGACTAAACTTACGCTAGAATTTGAAGAAAGTTCCACCATACTGCTAAAAACACAGGATTTACAGCACACACCAGATGGCGCCCAGGGGGGACGCACAAAAAACCAAGTAAATGGTGCACCATTTGGAATGTTGCACTCAGCCTTGAAGAAAAATTCTGCAGCTAAGCAGCCATTTTCTTTTGCATTCACAACACCTTTATCTCCATTTTCTGAAACTAAAAGATGAAGATACAGTTAAAAAAAAATGGCAGACACATCTATGCAGACACCTCCAAGACACTTTGACCTAGGGTCTTTTCATGCCATTCTTCAGTCATTTTTCTTTGACTCTATGATTATTTGATATCAAATTGGATCCTTCCCAAAAGCCGATGTCAAGACTTGGTCCGTGGTTTTTTTCACTGACTTAAATTTTTTTGACTCTGGGTTTCTGCAAGGGTGGACACCTTGCTGGGATGGACAACTGTGCCTCAGGCCAATTTACACAATGTTGTTGTTGAACAGACATACTCTCTCTTAACAGACAACTCTACAAAATGGACGCTTCTGTAAAACGGACACCTGGGGATGATCCCTGCCTTTTTCTACTCCTTTTAATTTACTGTCTACGAGACAGACACCTCACTAAGCTGCACATATAGTGCCAGTGCCAAAGGTGTCCATCTAAGAGAGAGTAAACTGTAGTTCTATTCTAGAAACAGTGATCAACAGGTCACACACACGAAAAAACCTCCTAAGAGATTCCCCCCTGTACGTGTCACTTAATAAAAGCTTCTTGATCATGATGAAACTTACATCATTTGTGTGAAATGTACGTCAACTGTAAATTGTCTCGTAAAACTCTCTTCTTTATTAAGGAGGAAGAGATAAAAAATCTTATTTTTTGGTGTAGACAAGCAGATATACGCTTATTGCTCAGTACATACTTCCTTCATTATACAAATGAGCAAGTCCTAGCTTGATGAGAGCTTCGGGATTACCAACACCTGCAGCCCTAGAAATTACCAAAAAAGCAGTGACATAAAATTTTCATAGTGTTTTATCATAATAAGAATTAACTGTCAGAGAAGACCTATCTATTATATTTTAAACAGTTTAAAATCACAGGCGCGCTTAAGGAAAGGGGTAAAATTCGAATGACGCCGCGCAAACCTCTGAATTCCGTTACATAGAACAATGGCAAACCTTTTTAAAAGTGGAAGATTTTTGAGCGATGGCCAAACTCCAAGAAATGATGCTGACACCCAAAGAGTAGGCGAGTCATCAATAACACTTTTTAACCTCGAACAGACCTGCAAAAAGGATAAATACACACAACGAATGAAATCAACAACAAAACGAACGTTTAACGGTCTGACGAAGACCGCGTCCTCTACCTTCCAACGGTCGCGAAAACCTTGCCATTTTAGACAAAAAGTAAATATATATTTTTCATTCACAGGGCAGAAACCAAGGTTTGTATACCTACCATTCTCAAGCACATAAGCTCATTGGCTGTTAAACGCTTCAAAATGAGAAGAACGACTTCTTCTGGTAACGCGAGCAGTGAGCATCGTGAAGGACGCGCTCGTGTTGGAATTCTGTTTCGAAGCTTCATCTTTCGCAACGTGTTAGGAAAATTTTACAGAGCCAGATGAAAGGGGCGAAAAGGAGATAAACTATAAAGAAAAAAATCTTAAAGCTAAGAGCAAGAGTTTGCTCTGTACTAGAAAGGAATCCACAAGAGGAACTGAACGATCGCGACACGCTCTAAGACAGACCAGTGCACCGTTGGAATTAAATCTAGCGCGGTGTACGTTTACGCATCGCTTCGCACGTTCTCATTGGTTGCCTGGGACTCTGGGGCCTCCCCTGAGACCCTATCGCGTGTCGCAATCAAAAAAGCCTGAAATAAAACATCTTTTAAATTATTTTTTTAAAACATTCACTTGTATTTTCATAAAAATATTTATCTTGATTAGAATAAGGTGATGAAAAAATGTATCAAATCCAGGAAGGTGAAACGGTCCAAAGTTGTCAAGGACAGATGCAACATTAAAAAAGCTAATTTTGTTGCATTTCGTCAGCCATTGGCGCCGTAGCTCAGTTGGTTAGAGCGCCTGTCTAGTAAACAGGAGGTCAGTGGTTCGAATCCGCTCGGTGCCTTTATTTTCCTCTTTTTTTTTTTCCCACTCTTCTCTTAATTCTTACTTAAAAATTCTATTTTTATCGTGTTTTATTGTGACTTCTGAAAAGGTAAAGAACGGTTGTACCAAAAAATAAACAATAACTACGAAAATCACTGGGACATTTTTAGTTTCAGAAGTACAGGTTACAACTGGAATAAAATTTTTTCTTCGTCAGTGTCTGTTTTTATCTTTCCTTGTATCTGTTTAATAGCTTCCACTGCCTGTCCATGTACTCTCCGACACCCCAATTTACATTTGGCTGGAAAGGATTTTCTTTTTATAAAAGACAAGATCATTTTCGTTCTTCGAGGGGTGCACTTAGGAAAGGTCCTATTTTTAATGCAATTTCTCAAAATATGAAAGGAACAAGCGCCTTCCGGTTCTTCGGATACAAATCTTTACCAGCTGTCCCATTAAATTCTTCCTGATAAGCTTTGTGCTTCTTGTATGAGTAAGTAACAAGTGTTAGAATCGTTGCAACGAGAAACAGCGCTGATGGGAGAGACCACGTTGCGATGAAGAAGCCAATCCAAGATACAATTTCACACAAGTAATGTGGACACGAGACAAACTCGAAAAGAAATCCATGAGGAATGACATGTTGCGATTTTTCAGAAAAAGATTGCTGTCTTCTCTCTTTGCGAAAAGCTTTCAGTTTGAAGTGACAGTAGCTGTTTCCAAATTCGCCGAGGAAGAATATGATGGAGCCAACAACTATCAGAGGCAGGAAGGTTTGTTTGTAGCCATTATCGTGTCTCAGTGCAACTCCGGTCCAAAATGCAAAGAACCAGTAGTAAACGGGCGCCCCTATACTTTCGATCAAGGGCATTTTTCTACGGTAATCGTGAACAAAAAGTACCTCAACTGTGCGCCGTAGAAAGTGAACAGACCACAGACTAATGAAGAGATATTCCCAGTCTTGATTGGTGGCAAAGTTCTTATTGTTTGAGACTAAGAGAGAACCTGTTGCAGGAAAATGCGTTAAAGATATTCCAGGCACCTTCATTGCGAGAAGAAACACTGCCAAAGTGCCAATATATGTAGCAGAGTTCACTACGACAGGGCTGAAGCCACTTGGGTCGGCCATGTTTGATACTCGTCTTCGTTATACTCACGTGACTGAAATAAACTGTCACGCGAGTCGAAAAGTATTTTACATAACTAAGTATCACGCTTTTACCCATAACCCAACTTTCAAAATTTAACTCATTTGGGGGCCTACATATATTTCCTTTTCAGGGGCGGCTAGAGGGGTAAAAGTGCCGGTAAAAGTATACCCCTAACTGTCCTCAATATCATGTCCAATCCTCCTACCTTTTTCCACCCCGCCGCCAGTAAGCTAGTCTGCTACACAGCCGTTTTTAGTGTCGTCACGCATAGTGGGGAGAAGCGTTGCGTGACGACACTGAAAACGGCTAAGCGAGTTACTGAATTTATCAGAACAGTTGGTAGATTAGTTAGCCAAGGTATAGGTACAACTTGGCTCAAAACGGTTCACCAAGGTATTCACGACGTTTCTTAGCTGCGAATGGAGAGTGCCGGGAAATTGAAAGAGAGCGAACGCTTAATGTAGGAATGAAAAGGTAGGTACATGTAATTATAGCTCCCTAGCACTCTTCCATACATACATGGTACGTATTTTATTTGATTTCAAATTTGAGATACAATTTTAACTAGATCTAACATGCCTGCAGATCACTCGCCGATTTAGCCAGAACTTTAGTTGTCTAAGGGGCGGTCTCCCAATTTTAACCAGCTCAGCGAGCGGAGAAAGCGGCCGAAGTTCGGGCATCTCTAGCGGGATTCTTGTGCTCGGGAAGTTCTGCCGTTGAAACAACACAACAATCCCGTGCTTATTTATTGGTTTTTCAAGGGATTGTTCAAACAATATGAAACTTAGGGGTACAAAAATATGCCCCACTTCACCGTCTACCTCTAGAAGGACGAGACAATCTCCTTCGAAAATCATGGCCTCTGCTGGAGAACAGACGATCACTTAGGAGTCAGTTCAATGGTCATGGCTTCCCTTTCACTATCTGACACCTGCCACCAGGCTTAAAGTAAAGGTCAAACAACTTTACATTGAAAATTCAGAATTAAGGACCTGGAACTGCACACCATTTCACCTAGTTCTTCAAGGAGCACTGTACGGCAAAGAATGTGAGAATCTTTTAAGGTCTAATCTTGGGCACAACCAAGGTGGCCATGACTTTAATTTGTGCCGCAAAACAATACCAACATTCTAATGGCCACCACTGGCTATTTCAAAAGTATTTTTGGAGATGGTAACCCGCGAGCAAGCTCTCTATTTCTGGCAAAGCAAGTCAGAAGACAATGTGTCTCTTGCTTGTCTCCTTTTGCAAGACTCGTGGCTGCTTCCCCAAATGGAGAGCTTCCTAGCAGGCTACATGGATCGATGATAGCACAAGTAATAAGAGAAATATTGCACACCAACAAGGTAGAAATACAACCAAGATGTAATATGTAGTGTGAAAACTTTAATACTGATATAAGCAGCAATGACAAAATGAGCTATGCAAAATTCATTTGAAATAAAAAGAGCCATCATAACAAAACAGATGACACATTATTACTTGCAGTCAATAAGCTAAGCAGTCTATTTACAGTAAACTTTTCGGAAAGCTCAATCAACTTTTAACAGCTGTCAAAGATTGTTTCTGAAGCTTGGTTTTATACACTTCAAGCATCAGGTTTTTCAAGTATTCAATTTCCTTTGACAATGAAGACACCTGATCTTTCAGGTCAACATTTTCTTTTTCTAATCCACTAAGTTCACTCTGAACGGCCTCCTGCTCTTCACGTTTCTTGATTCGGTACCGTGTAGCAGCATCTTTATTCTGCTCCCGTTTTCTTTTTCTCTGCTGAGGCGTTTTTTCCTTCACGGGTTTTTCCTGAGGATATGGTGCAACATACGCTGCCCTCGGGAGAGTCCTCACTGGATGAAAAATTAATGGTGGGTTTTTCTTGATGGGGCTTGCTTCAACTCCAGGAGATGGAGGATTTGAGCTGCCCAATTCTGTATCTGAACAGGCTAGTGGTATTTCCTCACTACTTACAGCTGATCCAGGGGACGCGACACTGCAGGGAGAATGAAGCTCAACCTCTGGAACATTCTGCAATGGTGAAGAGGGGACATCTGAAATTCCTTCACTGAATGGAATGTTTTTATCAGCACAGAGCCTCCTGAGAATTTCATCCACGTTAGCAAAAATATTGGCCTCTATCATAACTGGACTTTCTTCTTCAGTTTCCAGGAGAGGGATGTTCAAGGGCTCACTTTTCTCTGGACTTTCACTTTCAGTTTCCATGAAAGTAAAGTTCACCGGCTCACACTTTAAGGATGGTTCCCCAGTTTGAGGAGCTTCATCTATAGTTGACACACCAACTTCACCCATGTCGATAAACGAGTTGGTGTGTTCCTCAAGCACTGGTTCAAAGTTGTTGAATTCCAGTCTTTCTGTCATCCACTCACAATCTAACAGACCACCGCCATCTGAAATTCAAGAAGAAATCACTTGATTTCAGGAATGAAACATTAACTTTTAACCTCTGTATATTCAAGGCCATGTTCAAGGTTGTGGGTTTCCAAAGCCTAAGAAAACTTTGGCAAGAACAACCAGTGGGATTTAGATAACCCAACTGATGCAACAAGATGATGCAAAATTCTGTAGAAGCTGATGTAATGTTGAATTTTCCACAATACGCTTAACGAATACGTCACGAGAACGTGTTGCCATGACAACAGATGATATTCGGTGCATTTGACCAAAAGACAAAAGAATGGAAAATGAAAACTTTGAACACTGTTCCCGCTGAATTACGGATATGTTTCGTGCGGATATCGAAAAATACAAGCTATCACGTTTCTTTCGCAAGGAAAATTTCTCACAATCATTCACATTCCTCGCAAAACGCAAAAATATTACCCGCGAGAGAAGCTGCGATCTTAAAATAAAAACCCTACGGTTAAAAATACATTGCCCCAAAACGAGAAAATAATAATACAAACCTTCGAAATTAAGCTCTTGTAGCAGATCTTCCGCCAACAAGTTCGAGAGCGGTGCTTTCCTTTCTTCTATACAACTGTACACGTCATCGTTATATTCATGTAGAAAATCGCTTTCCCCATCCAATGGATCGGGAAGCGGGTTGAAGAGCTCTAGCCCTTCTAGGGCTGTCGATGTCGAAAATAATGAAATGCTTTCCATTCTTGATTTGTGGTAAGTTCTGGCCATCTGTAATCGATGATTGAGAGAAAAACCGGGCACGCCGTTGGAAACTGTAAAAGAAATCGAGATCGATTAGTAAAATTCGCGACAACGAAGCCATGTCGTTAGAGCGAGGAACGAAAATAAAGGCCGCTTTCATGGTTAAGTTAAGTTACTGTTCTGTTAATTCATCCTCTGGGCCAAGTTTATGTTTACACTGGAGAAAAACCTCGTGCTTTTCGCATCGCACTGAAGTGTGTTCTTTTAGTAATGGGTTTTGATCGATTCATTTCTCGCATTTCGCGATTCTTTCGCCTGTAAAAGGCAAGTAGAGATCTAAAGAAGTGTTTGCGTGATCGTAGAAACGAATGTACAGGGTAATTTGTACTTACTCCATGGTTGTACGAGGTGCAATTAGATTGCACGAGGAGGTTTTGCCGAAACAATTCTCACACCGCCATTTTCTCGATGGATGATGAAATATATTGCACGAAGGACGTGCGGTGTGTCTTGAATCCTTGGCTGATGCAATAGCACGCCATATTTAGAAGTTGACGTATTTTCAGACCAATCAGCGCTCTGAGCTATTTCAAGGAAGCCAATCAGCGCCTTTTTGATTGACGTCAATAAGCCTGTCAGACCGGTCAGCAAGCCAGTTTTCAAAGGACTTTGAGCTTCTCGGTGGGTTTAAAGTCCAACATGATCACGGAAAGGCATGTGTCGTTTTTGGCGGGAAGAAATTTGGCGGCAAAATTTACATTTCACTAGCGCCATGTTTTTGTTACACCGCGTGACAGCCGGGCGTGACACGAGTACCTAGAGAATGTTGTGTCCGTTTTATATGGCGTCCCGCAAGTTTCTACTTTACCAATTATGTGAACAGTTCACAAATCATTTTAAGAGCGAACTTGACTGACAATGATTTTTTTCAAAATAAAACAGTACTTTTTGTTCAGTACCTTGGATACCGGTTCACGTGGATACATGTACATATATTCTGCCGGCAGAATTTCGAGCATAATGATTTTAATCATTAAAATCGTGTTATTAAAATAACACGTGTCAGTCTGACAGCTGTGTCTTCCTCTTGACTTTTTTCACCCATATCAAATTAAGACAACGAACGTCTTTGTATTTCTCCTTTAAAATACCAACAGACAAAACTCTCTTTTCAGAGACGGACGTGAGCCCTCTCCAGACGAATCCAGACTGATTTTTTAAACCGCATATCTTTTTACCTGGACTCGTGTGGACAAGGCTCTTAATGCCATTTCGGTGAGCGGATTGCATTGGGTTTCGTGTGAACGGAAGGTTGTAAGTTCGTGCAAAAATACGGGATTTCAGGGTTTTCGTTGCAGTTAATATCAAATGAATTCCTTTTGGAATACTCGTGCTTGCACCATTCCCCTCCCTTTTGTTGAAAGTAAAAAGTAATTTTCAAATTCAATTTTATTTTCTGAGATAATAAACTTTTGTCTAATGACATTGTTCAAAGCCAGGCACTGACAGCTTGCTTCGTTCTTTAGGAAGGCGCATCATGTATAGCTAACCTAATTTAGACATTTACACAGCAACCAATTCTTGAAAATTCAATCTTTCTTTACATGACATTTGTAACCCCCCCCCCAACCCACATCCAGACCCTCTTACATCGGCTCACTTTTCGAAATAAAAATGCCAGCATTTTGTCCTGATTCATCTTTTCCATTTTCTATCAAACACTCAAATTAATTTGGTCTAAATATATTACAGTTGAACTCGCTTTAAAATAAATACAAAGAATCAAATAATTCTCCAAAGCCCGCTGAAAATTTTGTTTTTGCTACCGGCGATATTCATGAAATCGATTGTGATACCCTATGAGCTGTGATTGGTTAACGGTTACCTTGGAGACCATTAACCAGTCAAGACAAAAAAACGCTGGACACTGACTCAAAACGGCCCCAGGAATCGTAGCGCCGAAAACGTCCTTGTCCCTAGAGATACTGCAGTGGCGAATTTCAACGTAGTTACTTGTTTCTTCCCCAACTCGTACTTAGATATAATGTTGAAAAATGTGACTTGATATGGAAGGATACCGTATTTACTCGATTGAACACCGCAGATGGTGGAAAAAAAATGTACATAAACGTCATTCAGAATCCAATCAAAATAACGCGGCGTTTATTCGAGGATTGTAAGAAATTAAAACTCCATACAACTTGGTAAACTGCACCATATTCTATCTCAGCAAAAAGCGAGATTTTGAAACTTGAAACACCTTTGTGTTTTACATAATATTAATCAATGATTTACTGTAATTGTCGCCAATGCTTTTGAAATAAACGCTACCCTTGAATAAACACCGCATGAGAAATTACCGTCGCGCCGTTTAATCGAGTAAATACTGTAACTTCTTTACGAAAAGGAAATTATAACAGTCGAACAACCTCTCCTTTATACACTTGTAAAATACCAACATTCTTTCAAGCAATTCGCTTGATCTCGTCGAGAGCAAAATTCTTTTGAAACGTTACTCGCCAAGTGTCTTTATTACAACGGTTTAACTATATAGCCAACTCTCTCAATAGACATCTCTTTAAAACGCACACCTAGAATTGGTCCCTACTGTTCCAGAGTCTTTTTTTTTTTACCCCCTAAAGTAGAAACCTACCCTGCGAGCAGAGGCTTTTTTTTATCTGGCATGGCTTTTAGCATTTACGAAGAGACGTAACCGAACCAACTACGCGACTGACAGCGACGCGAACGATTTCGTAAATGCTAAAGGGCATACTGGAAAGAAACCTCTCGCAGGGTAGTAGAAACCTCTCTAAGAGGGGCATCTAGGGTGGGCTCTGCCTTTCTTTACTTTCTTTGACTCTTTACAAGACAACACCTTTCCAAAATAAACACTTAGTGTCGAAACCGACGCTATCTGGACACTGTCTGGATTAGAGAGAGTTGGCCGTTCTCTAAACTTTGGAATGGACACTGCGACAATTCAAATACAATAATGCATTGAAAAATTTTTGTCAAATAATTTTAACTTAGACTGCAAAACAGTCGGTTTTCTTCCGAAAATCAGTAAAGAAATCGGTAAAAGCGTGGAGTAAGAGTCTTACGCGCGCGAAGCGCGCGAGCCTCACACGCCCGTAGGGCGTTTGAGGAGAGAGAAAAAAAACCCAGTCTCGCTCTCTGTTTTCAGCCTCGTTCTAGACCTTTTGTTTGACTGCTCACGCGTACGCAAAATATGGAATGTTTTGCAGTCTATTTTAACTCGGTATCACAGATACCATCTTAAAACTCAGCATTTATGCAAGTTTAAACCAGCTAATTTAGAAACACAATCCGGCATATTGTACAAGGCGTCTCTGTTTGAAAATACTGAGCTCAGTTCAACTGATATGACTACTTGAATGAATTTTGTGCGTAGAAACCTGTTCCTTTTGTTCTTAAGAAGAAAAATGAATATCAAAATGATAAGATTAAACAGAAAAACGAGCAAGGTAAGATTCTCCCAACAAATGTGTGGTAAAAATGCACAGAATGGGATAAAAGTGCGAGGACAACTAAGAGCCATGGGCCATCACCGCGTACAAAGGTCCTCATACGGTTGAAAAATACCCTTAGTGACGTCGTCTTGTGGAGTAAAACTAAGCGGAATGACCTCACGAATATAGGTAGAAACGCTCATTCAATATATATAAAAAATAACTGAAGGCTGGCAGTTATAGAGTTATTCTCTTTGCCAGAGCAAAGATGTTGAGGGAAAGCTATCCCCTACGGAACTTTTTGGAACTTTTTGATCACAAAAAGTGCTAAGTTTGGTAATGGTACTGTTGTTTCACGACAGTTAGTTGTATTTCTCTTCAACTGGACATCCTCCGGTGTTTTCGCGAGGAATGCGATCGAAAGTGGCCATGATGCGACTTGTGGTTCTTTGACAGCTGTCGAGAAAAACGATCTTTGAAGCCCTGGAAAACAAACCCACAACAACGTATTAAGATCATGACACGAAACTTTACGCTTCATGAGAAGCATCTTGTTCTTGACTTTAAACCTGCAAAAGTGCACAAAGTCTGATAGCTCCCAAGCTCTGTACATTGTATTTTCAAACGAACTGAAAGATACTTGGAAAAATCGGGCCAACGTTTTAAGGTTACCTGAATTCAGTCGGTTTTAACCTTCTCCGCACATTAATCCGCATCGTCTTTAGGCATTTCTATTTTTTTTCGGCTTCACCAGAAGTTCTGCGTGCCTGTTTTTACATTTACGCCGATTTTTGGTGACATTTAAAAACTGCTTAAAATTTCGTGACCAAACTGTTTTGTAAACGACAAAAGCCTTGTATTGTCATAAGTAACAAATCACCTCTACACTGAAAAAAATGCACCTGTTTTGAGCTCCGTCTCTCGTGTTCTTGCTGGAAGGGATTTCCTTTCCGGTGTCTTTCGCTGGTGTCCTTATTCTTTTTAATTTTCTTCTCCTAAATGAAATAATAATAATAATAATAATAATAATAATAATAATAATAATAATAATAATAATAATAATAATAATAATGATAATAATAATAATAATAATAATAATAATAAATAACTGTCAAAAATACACCCTACTACATTAACCGATCTGTGTCTAACTTGATAGTGGACAATACACCTTTTTACAGATACGGGGGCCATATTGAACAGTCCGGAATATCCCTAAATTTAAGGACAGGGCCAACTGGTCATGCGACACTTTTCAACCAATGAGAAGGCGCGCTTGTGTTTATCAACAGACAAATCAAAACATCGCCGCTGTGGTCAAATATTTTCAAAACAGTGGACGGAGTCGGACAGAATCAGTCATCGTTTCGAGGCACTCAGGCATATTTTTAAGACTTTTCATGAGGCATACAGAATTTTTTCAAGTGGATAGCGTATCGGAAGCCATATTGGAAGTGTCTCGTGAAATATTCAGCACATTTTGTGGCTTATTTCTTCTTTTAAACAACGCGATATATGGGCGAGATTTTGGTCGGTTTTCAAGGTAGGTGAACAAGTATCTATTATTTTTTCGATTCACAGATTTTTTTTACGAAGTTCTAGATATTTTTCCTTGATTGTCATATCGATTAACGTTTATCATGTTGAATGAGGGGATGGTAGACAACCTAGAATTTTGGTAGACCAGTTTTGAATTCCGAGGTCCAAAACACGTACGTTTTCTATTCCCGGGTTTCTCACAGAGCCGTGTTATTACTTTTTTTCGCATTATTACGAGCCTTTGCCTTTTTTCTTTTCAAGGCCAAAACAACTTTGTTAGTCTAATGGATATTCACGTCCAACATCTCGCCTCACTTTGCCGAATTTGTGGGGATGAAATTGAAGATCATAAACGCAAGGTAGATACTAACCGCTTTGTTTCTGAAATTCACCAAATCTGGAAAGATTTAATGTTGCTGGATTCTCCAAATGTTCATCCACCGTTAAAAAACAATCAAAGAAAGAAGGCAAATTTCAAGTGTAAATGATGTATTTCGCTACTCATTCAACATGCACTGAATCTGGGATCAAATTAAAACATTGCAGGTACTAAAGCAAGCAAGGAAAGCACCAGATGCGTGAAGTCAACACGAAACAACACCAAAAAACAAACAAGAAAAATTAATAAATTTGAACTACTTTTTATTCTTGTTATGATGACTGGTTCTTTGATTCTTGTCCTGTAGAAGCTAAAAGGTAGTACCAATCCTGTTTAGTATGATCTCAACAAATTTTCACACTCTCTCTAAGGCTATTTTTACACGGGACCAGTTTGTTTCTATCAAAAATCTTGCAAGCCATGCCAGTGAAGCCACGACCACTGCGATCCGTCCGGAATCAGTTCGAACACCCCAATGATTCCTTGCAGTGAATAATGCTCTTATTCTCTTACATGAAATGTTTTCTTTGAAATATTAAATGTACGTGAAACCTAGACGAGTACCGTAAGCTCATCTTTAATTCTGTCCGTCGACTCCGTCCGTTGTTCTGAAAATTTTTGAGCACTGGGGCGATGTTTTGATTTGTTTGTTGATAACCACAAGCGCGCCTTCTCATTGGTTGAAAAGTGTCGCGTGACCAGGTGGCCCTGTCCTTAAATTTAGGGATATTCTGGACTGTTGAATTAATTCGATTTAAGGAGTATTATAGGATGCCCAGGGGGCACGAGCACATTTCGTTTGTATTTTCGATTTTTTCTTAAAGTTTTCTCAGATTAAGATTGTAATGGGAAACAAGATCCTTGTGCCGTGTTTTGATGTAATAATGATCGCCTTTTTCCCGAGAAATATACAGTGAAACACCATATTTCTAATACTAAACAAGAAAAAGGCGTGAACAAAGTTATTGAAATGATGGACTTGGAACGATGATTTAAAGGGTTTTTATGCTCTAAGCATAGTCACCAAAATTGAAGCAAAATTAACGGTAATAAGGTATAAAACAATGGAATCTGATTGACACCAAGTGATGACCAATCAGCTGGTGACAGTCGGAGCTACGTCTAGGGAAACTGCAGCTGTGAAACTATGCCACATGGTAATTGCCTGCTGTTCATCTGCCCTGTAAAAGCGTTACCTTTCCTCGGTCGTATTCGTCATCCCACGAGTCTCTCCGCTGTCGTTTTCTGCCTGATTCACCAACGCTGTTGTCCACTGAGTTTTCACCGCCATCCCAAGATGTTACTGAAAGAAAGCAGACATTCAAATGCGTGTTACAATCAAATCCATGATATAAATGTGCCTGTGAAGGAGATCCCAGGGCACGGTCATTCAAGTGATAGCTACTGAGCAGTACTTTCCTGTGGTACAATTATTATGTTGTACAAGGTGGCTCTAACTTTCAAGTCCATTGTATGAAATCCTAAAGTGTGACCATTCAAATGAAAACTACTGAACAGTAGTTTCCTGTGGTACTGTTTATTGCACTGTACAAGCTGGTTCTAAATTTGGAGTCGGTAAATGAAATCCTAAAGTGTGACTATTTCGATGAAAGCTACTAAGCAGTACTTTCTTGTGGTACTGTTTATTGCGCTGTACAAAGTGGTTCTAATTTTTGGAGTCTGTGAATGAAGTTTATTAAAGTGCAAACATTCAATATACCCTTTACGGGTAGTCATTCACGTGGTACAAGAACGTCCGTCTGGAGAGCATGGGACGCAATGGGACAGAAATAAAAAAAGAGCTCACATCATTTAAAATGCTGACTTCATTTGCTCGTTTCTAGCTCTCCAGCATGGCGGCTTTGTATCAAGTGAGTGACTAGCTGCAAAGGGCCTGTTGAAAGCCACTGGTCGTTATTTTTCTATGGTGTTGTTTATTATGCTGTGATGAGCTTTATTTATGTCACTACTGTGTTACGATATAGTTCTGAACTTAAATCCTAAAACGATTCTTTCAGGTTAACAACTTTATGGTACCAGTTCACTTAATATTTTATCCATAAGGAAAATGGCCAATTTTACTCACCTGAACTACCGTATCCATGGAAACCCTTACTGCTGCTTAGCAACTGATCAACAGCAGATGAAGCACGTGATCCATCCCACGTTGCCCTCCGTGCCCAATGTTTTTTCTTCGGAGCATCGTCATAAATTACTGGAACTGGAGTATTTAGAGTGGGTGTAAATAAGGTTGAAATAAAAAGACAAACAAACAAAGCTCTTGTCCAAAATTGCGTATCAATCCAGCTGGTTTTAGCCAGTTTCAGATGTTCAGATAGTGGGGACAACTCGCTGTTTTTCTTATTTTTTCTTTATACATATTTTGGACTTTTATCTTTTCGTTGCACTGTCTTACAATGAGTCTGAACCCTAGCACAGGCTAGGCAACAATATTTTTGCATACAAAACATGTTTCAGCTGTGTCGTTTTTCTGTGTAAACGGTCCATAATTTTCAGGAAAGTCCGCCACTACTGACATAATTTTCAGTGAAATGTTAGAAAGTACAGTCTCAATTCCGAAGCTTTTGAACCATTAAAACCACACGAATCAATAATAAATACTTCATTGGATATACTATTTATTTTGCCCCAGTATTTTCACGTTTACTTGTCGCGCATCGACGCAAAAAAATTGCGAGACATGTTCTTAACACCGGAGCCTTGAAAAATGAACCATGAAACAGGCCGTTTCGGGGTTCCAAAAACCCTCACTTTCAAAACGAGGCTAAGTGCAAAAACTTTCTTGTGAAAACGAGTTTCATTTGCATGAGATTTCATATCAATGGCGTCGCACTTAGCCTTGCTTTGAAACAGAGGCCTGGGGCAACTCGGACCGAAATGGTCTGAGGGAGCTTAAGCACTAACGACGGCGACGGATACGAAAACGTCACTTAAGAGGTCACATCGAGCTGCTTCAAACTTAATCGCGCTTATTCCATCTCGTTCAATTCGTCAAATGTTGGCAAATTTTTCTGGAGTTGAATTCTAAAGGACTGTATCGAAGTTCAGGAAAAGAAAAGCAAAGTCGTTAGCTTGAGTTCACGTTCTCCACAAAACGTGAAATTAGGCAATTTCACGTCGTAGTCACGCAGTGACTGCAAAGAAATGCACAAAAAACGTGATGCACCTGCAAAGTTGTTGTTGTTTTTTTTTTACCTATTTAAACCAATTGCTTTTTTGCCGTCCTCGTTGCTTAAGCTTCCTGGTGTTGTAATTTCACCTACCTCTAGACTCCCTCGACGATTCTCGTGAGTCAGCTTTCTCCGATTTCTTGTTCTCTTTACCACTTGAAGCAAGTTCATTCCCGGAGCTGGAACTTGAATCATCGTAAGACACTAAGCACGGCCTTTTACTTGGAGAAACGACATCTTCGTCATTATGCTTTCTCTTGGATTTTTTGCTTTTAGATTTTTCTTCAGTGCTAGGTTCTTGATTAACTTTATCACTACCACGGCTTTTGTCTTTCTTTTTCTTTCGCTTCTTCTTTTCTTCCTCGCTACTATCTGACTCTTCAAGTCTCTCATATTTCTTCTCCTTCTTTTCTTTCTTCTTTTTCTTCTCTTTCTTGTGTTTCTTCTTCTTCTTTTTCTTCTCACTTCCCTTCTCATCCTTTTTCGTTTTTTCCTCCACTTTATCTTCACCCACGTCATCTTTTTCGTCCTCACTCTTCCTCGACACCTGCCAGCCGGCGTGCTGTCGTTCTGGGAGCCTGGGTCCTGGTGTAAGCACCGTCTTATCGGTAACTGTCCATTCGCCTGTTTTTCCCATCACGCTTGAGGTACTGCTGGTGTCAGACATAGCTGACGATGGTGACTGTTGCGGTGGCATTGTCCCCCGCGGGGGAGGGGACATGGGACCAAACACTGGCTCAGAGGTGGTCTTGGGAGTGACTTTCCACGGCGTGGTTGCTTTTGCTGAAAGACATATTACATTTTCTATGTGGAACGGGTTCAAAACGGAGTTTAAACTGATCAGTTAGCATATAAAGTGTTGAATACATTAGCCCAGTTCAGACGCCGTACTTCACTTGAGCCGAATCGAAGGTTAGCGAAGAAGGGTGTCTGCCGAATCAATTCGAAACGGTTAATTTAATAGGCCATTTCCGAGTTCCCCCGGGCCTCTGTTTCAAAACGAGGGTAGGTGCTCCGCCTTTGATATGGACATCATTTTTCATTCTCATGCAAATAAAACTCATTTTCACAAGAAAGGTTGTGCACCTAGCCTCATTTTGAAAGAGAGGGTTTTTGGAACTCGAAAGTGGCCTATTAGAATCGGCTAAGCCCTCCTTCAAGGACGGGCGTAGATTCGGAAGCAATTCAACCGGCCGAAATTAATTTGATTCTAGTCGGCTGGTGCGAAGTAAGGCGTCTGAACCGGGCCAAGTGAAAGCCGGGTATGTTCTTGCAGCTATGAAAAACCTCAGCGGTCGAAATAGAACATGAAAGTAATTAGGGTTGAAGGAGAATAGTTCCTTGACCTATGCAACAAGCAAACGGCGCAACGGTCCATCTATGATAGAATCGCATCTATCTATCATTGAGTTCACTTGTGCTGTTCAAACGCAGCTTACCTACAGACAATGGCGTCCCCTTGCCTTGCGCGACAGCTCTTGGAATAAAGAGGGGTGGAGGGCGTGGCTTCTTGGACGGAGAAACAGACCCCTCTTTTCCTTCTTTCCTCAGTGGAACGTTCTCAGAGGAGTCCTTAATTTTCTCTTTGTTACTGACATCTGGTTTTGCCGTCACATTTTGTGAAGCCTCCGACTCAGTAACTGCCTCCAGCTTTTTCTCTGAAGATGTTATTGGAGACTTGACCTCTGAGCGAGTTGCTCCTGTTAAGAGGCTGCCCACCTTGTCTTTACCTACGATATTCTCGCTCTTTTCTCCGAGTTCTTTCTCCTCCGTCTTTGCTTTGTTCAAATCTGTTTTAACTCCTTTGGATTTGACGGGAATGGTGAATGTAAACTTGGGTCTCTGCGAAGATGAAGCTAAGGGAACAGAGGGCGCGTGATTTGTTGAGGGCGTTGTTGATGGCTTCGGCATGGTCGAGGTCGATGCTGGAGTGCGGTTGAAATAAATCCCGGGTTTGACAGACGTTCCGACATCTAAGAAACGAGAATTCGGGAAAGAATAATATTTAAAATAATTGTAACAACAGTGTCGTGGGTAAATATAAGTGAATAGACAAGAGAGCTTTCTGTTGTACTGTTAAGCAAATCACACAAAAAGAAGGGGGCAGCCTTTTGATCTAAATAACGTTTGGAATCTTTCGCTTCTTACTGACAAATTTCCAAGACGAATGGTCACATTCAGTCACCGGTTTGAAAACTGACATTCCGAACAGATTTTAACTTCCTGTTCTACTTACAATTTCTATCTTAATCTCCAGTTCCAAGCATTCAACTTTTCACAGCCATGTCTAATCGCCTCAACAAAATTGTCATTTACACAATAGTACTTTATAAATGTACACTGCACTTACCATTCTGTTGGATGACCTTTGGTAGATGCTCTTTCGGGGGGACAGGAGTTTTTGGCGTTGATGTAGGAGAGCTCAGTAAAGGCGACTAGAAATTAATAAAAAAAAACATATTGTACTGATAGGTCTTTCCCAAAAATACCATAACACTCTATAAAGCGGTGTAGATTTACTTTGACATCAGTGCAATAGGCTATTTCCGAGTTGCTCAAAGCCTCTCTTTAAAGCGAGGATAAGTACGAAGCTATTGATATGAAATTGATTTTTATTCTCCTGCCAATAAAACTCATCTTTTAGCCTCCCTGTGTAAGTGAGAGTTTTTGAAACTAGGAAACGGTCTATTCTATTGGGCCGACCTGTACCTACAGTACTCCAAACAAGGTTGTGATTGGCTGAGAAAACAATAGGGATGGTGACATAACAAAGCCCCTATCCCTGAAAACAATAGGTAGTGCAGGTTATAGGGACCAATGAAACAAGAGGTTTGGATGGGGTACAGGTCAATCGATTCTTTTTCGTCATCCGCCTAGGCCAAAGGGACTGATACGTGATCGTGGCTCCTCAAGGGCGGTTTAAAGCTTTACTGAACTAAAGAACCAACTAACCTTGGAAGTTTCATTTGAAGGACTAATTCTGGTATAAAACAGCAAGTACGCTTGTTGGGATAGTACAGCTTTCATTGCAACTTGACGAACCTGTTTGGCAATAAAAAAAAAAACAAAATCACCTGATCACCATTTATAAAACGACTGTTTTGTTCACTACCTTTTAGCCTGGGTGCCAGAGGCTTTTCATGCGCGGTTTCCGGTTTGGTCAAGTCTTTATAGTGACCCGCCGCTCGTGTCTTCGGCCTTCGGCTGACGAAGCTCCTCGCCGCACGCGAGAAAAAAACCTCTGCTTCCCAGGGTAACTACACCAAAACTTACTAAAAAAATTCATAACAAAGGGGACAACAGGGGAAGATTTTAGAATACTATTAAGTTTTTACGTTATCTCAACTTTATGCCCCGAAATTCCTCTTTTATGAAGTGATTCTGTTAATAAAACAGTTCCTGCAGTTTGCAATCACGAGTCCATAATTGACAAAAATAAGCAACATCTTTGAAAATAAGGTGTACCTTTTAGGTTCGGATATATAGGTGTCTTATCTTCGAAATGCTTGCATTTAAGGCGGGCCCGAAAAGTTAGTGGGACTTTCGAGAAACGGACCTAAGCACCTTAAAAGGTCTATATACATTGTAATTCAGTTAGTTATCAAAAGAAGGTTCAAGGACAATGTTTTTCACTTACAATAGAGTCATTCATTTGGTACCAGACGCCATTTGAAGCTCTGATGTAACAGTAGTAATGGCCCGAGTTAGATGAATATCCTGAGTGAACCAGAACTGCATACAAACGGTACTTGATAGGAGGACCCTGAAAATCACACGGAAAGAACCAATGTCAAAGCCCATTTTTTTTTGCGCGATTTATAACGCGATTTTGTGACGATTTCTAGGCAATCCCACTGCGATTTGCCAATCTTTATACTGTGGTTCCTGTACGTAAAGGGCATCTCATGTAAACATTCTGCCATTCTGCTTAGCTCGCTAAGAAAATCGTAGATAGATCGCTGACAGTTCAGTCATTAAGAGGCGGGAGACGGGGATTTCCCCCGGCTGCTATGAACGTGGCCCCGGTTACTTGCAAAGGAGAATAGAAGAAAACAGAACCAAAATAAACCCTTAGCTGTTTAATTCCCCACCTACTTGTTGTATTTACCCAGCAACTTGAAATCTTAGTGACAACCCTACTAAGACGCATCATCGTGATGGAATCAAGAGGAAATGATAATACATGTGTGACCACATCTTGTACAAAGTTAAGTGATCATCTATCCAAAAATACCAACATCAGTTCTCCCAGTCAATGTAGTATCTCGTAGGCCAAAGCGAGAGACAAATCCTGGTATTTTGGGTTCAGTGACACATCCTTTTTCTTACCGGTGATGTCATGTATGGCCTCAGGTTCAAGAACTCAGAGTACTCAACATGCTTTGATATCTTCCCTCCAAAAATCTGATTGTAATCAAATCTGAGATGAGACAGGAAAACATATACAGCGTTAAGTAATAAGTAGCAGTAATAACAGGTTAGAGACATGCGCTCGTCCAGAAAACCAGGTGACAAAATGTTCCCAAGGCGGGAGGGGCAGTTGGTAAGGGCTGTGAAGGGGTCAGATGAAAGTCCCAACAAATACGTAAAAATTCTTCTGCCTTTTCAAAACCACAGGAAACGTGAGAAAGGGTGGCCTGTTCACAGACCTTCTATTTTTTGTCTAGAGGTCAGCAAGCATGTGCGTAAAATAAGAACCGCCGGGAATTTATTAACCACCAGTTCAACGAGGTGGGAGTGGGTAAATGAGAAAAGTATTACATCTTTTTTTCTTGGCGCAAGCTCGCAAAATTCGTCGAAAGAAAAAGATGAAAAAATCTTCTATGGACATGAACATGATAACAAATAATTAACATTAACTATCAACTAATGTAATCCGAAAAAACTTCTTGACATTATAAGTGAAATTGTTGATTGCTTGATGCAACAGTTCTGGGATGCATAGCAGTTGAAAAACAGGGAGACAGCTGGGAAGCGAAATCGCAAGGGAGAAAAACGGGCAAGCCATTTGTTCAAACTGAATTATTTTTTCAGCCCAAGAGCAAAAATGGTAGAGCAATACCTAGTTGCATGCACACTGGTAATTTTAAAACAGTTTTTTGTTTTTTACCTTCTTTTGCTAGTGTGTATAGCATAGCAGTTTACTTTTAAAGAAGAGATAATATAAAAGGTACCTCTTGAGTTGTAACGTTAAAATGTTTGGTGCTCTGTGGATAAGAAACTGTTTATGGGCAGGAACCTTTCTTTTACACCTGAAAACGATAAAAAAATAACAATGAAATAAAAAAAATCAAGCTCTTTTTTCTAAGCTATTAACAACATGATGGGCAGATGAAGTAAGGTTGTTCTCCTGGTACTGCAGCTGGGCCAAACAGAGGAAACTAAATTCTGGTTAAGCCCATGTGCGAAGCAGCGCCAAAATCAGTGTTCTTATTTTTTAACTTGAGTTTTGTTTAATTTTCCTTAATTTTCCCTGAAAAGCCCTTAAAGGTCAGAGGATAATTTATTAAGATTTACTAATCACTATTACTTTATTTGTGTGTGCAACCATAAAACATGGTGGTATATGTTGCAGTTAATTTTTGTTTTTTCATTGTTTCTGGGTAAGGTAATGTATGGTAATGAATTTAAAACAAAGGAAAAAATTAACAAAAAACAAAAATGGACTGAAATAAAGAAAATTAACTGCAACAACAACAACAAAATTATTTAACAAAAAAAACATTACAAACCTTGGGCACATATAGAGATTTTCTCCATCTAATAACTCAATTTTAACAGATCTTTGAAGCGCTTTCTCGACAGATGGTAAATGCTGGCAAAGCAGAAAACAGGACATGACTATAACAATTAGCACAATCATGTACTATCTAGAGGAAATTGCCTTTTATTCCTATCTAAATACTCTATCCACAAATTCACATTCAAGCAATAGAAAATGTTTTCCATGTGCAACAAGCAAAACATCTTGATGTCACAACCATGTTTACATACTCTCATGAAAACATGCCTCTCAGCCAATCAGAGGGTGTGTTATATCTTAGTTATTTTATAAATAGTAATATTATTACTGAATGATTCAAAAATGTAACTGAATCATGATTATACATATGCATAAATAATTATCATTTAAGATATATTTAACAATTTTACCTTAATATCAAGCATTATATCCATTAGAGGATCAAATGTGTTGGAATTGTTTTTGCACTTTAAACATCGCACTAAAAATAAACATAATAAATAGGTAAAACATATACATTGTACTACATAACATTGCAAGCACACTGAAACTAAAAGTGTTTTGGGCTTAAGATTTTGCCGATAGCATGAACACAATTAACATAGTTTCCCTGGATTTAATGGACTTTCCCTAAGAGCATAAATCCAGGAAAAAAATGGGTCCACAACTTATTGTATCAATTAACCTCAAACTTTTTTGCAGTCAACTTTCTACTTATGAGGACTCTTCTACGACAAAGGACAACTAGATTTGGTTCTTCCCGTTCTTCACTAATTTAATTTTCGTTAATTGGACACCTCTCTAAGATTCACTGATCGTCAATCTGCACAGGAGTTGATGCTAGTAAAAAATATATTCTATGATTCTTACCTTGACTTCTATAATAGCCTCCAAATACTTGATGTACCATTGTGGTCTGTTTTGACATTCTGTCAAGCCTACAGTGCAACAAAATCAATATCCGACTCAGATAATGACCTCCCCTCAGGTCGTTCAAACAAAAAACATTTGTCATGGTTGATAAGCATCTACTTGAATATTCTCATCACTGAAGACAAATGCACTGCCTTCCTAGTCAGGGCTTCTGATATTTCGTGTGGCCTCAGAGCCACGAAATTGAGGTAAATCCGCGAAATCCCCCAAAATTCACAAAAACACGCAAAACACTGCGAAATTTGGTGGAAATCTTATCAAATACATGTCTGTACAGCATTTTTGAAACTTGTCTAAGCTATTGGGGCTATTTACTTGCTGTAAACTTGTAAATTTATCTTGAAACTTCATCACTGAAACATGCAAACAATGCCCGAAAATACAAGGCGTAGATTATGTTGCAAAAAACTGGGCACAAGCCATGATGTTAAAGGCTTTGCCATTGGTTCATTTCTGGAGCTTATTGTTGTTGAAAGAGCAAATGATGACCTCTGTTAGAAAAACATTAAAAACGCTGGTCTGATCAGCACAAAACCAATCAATTTCTAGCGAAACTTACCCTGAAAATAACCACAAATTCTGCCGTTTTTTTAACTGATTGCTTTTTAGCCAATTTAGCCCCGAACATTCCCGCGAAATTCCTGCGAAATCAGTCGATGTTTCCATGAATTTGTCCCTAAAAATCCCCTGAAATTTGACTTTTTTTCCGCGACCTATCAGAAGCCCTGCCTAGTGAGGAGACTGTACTAAACATATCACTTACTTCTCTGTGTAGCCATCTGCAGCTAGACAACTCTTCTGGATGCCATCGATGACATATCTTAAGAATTCATGAGCATCTTCTTGGTGGCCAAACCTTAAATGTTTTGCAATGACTGAAGAAGAGAGAACCATTACTAAGCAACAGAAACTTTGGGGACATAATAATAGAGTGTTTTCACATGATGTCACAGTGGCCATATTGCTACCAAATTCTCCCTTTAATTCATCGGAAATGGAAAGGAGAATCTACCAGTTTACCAAAAGTCACTTGTGGGGCAGCTTTATTCCAGGCCACCCTTCAATTAGCCTACGAACCGCAGACGCGGAAATACGTCTGCGGTTCACAGGCTAGCCTTCAATTTGTTGTTAGCTATTGATGAAGTAAATTTACAAGAATGGCTAATGTGTGGAACTTAGGATGCATGACTGAGAAAAAAAGACTACCAGTCAGAGTGGAACTGGCTAGAACATGCTGACCCAGTTCAGACATCAAACTTTTCATGCCCAGAAACTAATTCTTACCATTAAGTACATGTACATGAAAAGACTAGTGTTTAAATTGATGAGTCCAACATACAGTTGATTCCCGATAACTTGAACCCTTGCTACAAATGTAACTCAAACTTCCCGCAATTCAAAGGAATTCTTGGTTCCCCTCAGATCACTTCTATATAATTTTACCCCAGATGTTGCAGTCCGAAACATTGAACTTACTATTGATGTATTGTAGCCATATAGTTTATTTGTGGAGGCTAATATTGTTTGTTTCAAATCTACAGTGAAACAGCTTTACTTCTTGAAACAGTGAAACATATGCTCTATTTAAGCTATGCTTTTTATGTTTCATTCTGATTTATAATCTGAAAGCTGCATTGTTCCATTTTCACTTGACATTTTCTACAATTAAATGTGATTAAAATGTTTAGTATAGTAAAAACTGTTAGTACAGTAAAAACTGTTTTTTCTCTTACTTCCGGTTATTCGCTTTGAGCTCCCAATTAACTTAAATTTTTTTGATTTCCCTTGAATGTTCAAGTTATTGGAAGTTGACTGTATCTAATTTGGCTTGAATCCTGAATCAGGTTTGAGTGGTTTAATTCACACAATAAAGTTAATGGTTTTTGGGCTGTCCAAACTGTCACTGGGGCCTTTGATAAAAGAATTTAAGCCTCCAATTTAGATCAAATGATAGAAAGACTCCAACTCACATTTAAGCTTCTGAATAATTGCCAGGGGTTTGATGGCTTCTCCTTGATGGTGACTGAAAGTCCTTATGATGTGTTTCTGCAGCTCACAGAGCATACAGAAACCAACTGTTCTACCTGTAAAAACAACGAGGAGTTGAAGTCACAGTCATTTAAATCAGAAGTGCTAAGTGTTATGATAAAACGGGGGGACCTTAATGGATATGTGCTGCTTAAGGTATCATCCCACCTTCAGTACCATCTTTGTGCAGATCATGTTAGCCATTGTAACTTTAATAATTACCCCTACAAACTGTACATTTTCTGAAAGCTTAATAGTTGCAGATTACAGCCAATTTCTTTAAAAAATCTAAATTACTAATGCGTCTCAGAATTGACGAGCTTTTTGCAAAAGTATATGTTTCTGTACATTTAAGTCCAGGTCAGCCAAAAAGAAATGGAAGAAATCAATTAAGATTGCAATTGCTTCTTGACACATCAGACTAAAAAACCATGCCTCAGATTTTTGACATGTGCATTTGTTGTTTTGTAATATGCAGACGAAGTTAAGGAATTTGATGTAAATGTCTTTAAAACAATTATTTTTATATGTTTCATACATTCAAAGATTTTTCAATCTGACCGAAAACAGAGGAGTCAGCGTGAGAAATTCACGGCTCATTACGCATGCAGGAATGCAGATTTGAATTTGAGACTGGTTGCGGCAATGCTTAACAGATTCATTTTTCAAATAATCGATCCATTAATGCAATCTTGGGGGGTACGCTTGACTGTGACTTTTTTCACTAGCCTTAGAAGCAGAAGCCTGCAGTTAACCAGAAAGCCCTACAGAATTAAGCTGTGAAATTGTTTGAATTTTCCCAATAAATTGCTCTGAGGCCGAATGAACCACCTAATCAAATTTCCAGGACAAGTGTTTCCAGTGCCTCCTGCTAATTCTAAAAACCATTTTTTACAATTTGATTGGCAATCATACTATTCCTTAAAAAGTAATATATTATAATTATTTAAACAATAATTGTGATCATGAGCTACACTGTATTAGAGCTCAGATGAAACTGTCAAGCACCTGATTGTTTACGACTACGAAATGAGTATGTGTGGAAGGTCTCCAAAGGAATTCACTCTTAAGCCATGAGGGGAGCATTGCTGAGAACACTTGCAAACTTTCTACTGGAGAGAAGATGGTTAACTAACAATCATAAATAAAATTCTATTATAAGACCCAAGCACAGGTTTGGTTTTGTTTTTTCTGTTCTTGGGTCTTATTACATGGTCTGAAATTGACCTGAGCTGGTGATTGTTGATGTGTCTCAAAATTGAGAACTGCCCATAAAAAGCTGAACAGGTGTCCAAAAAAAAAAGCAGAAATAAAATGATTTTTAGCATTTTAGATTATTACCCGTGAGTTCTATTTGTATAGGTAATAGCATGATTTGTAGTGATATTTGGCATAAATACCACAAGTGATATTTCAAAATTGTTATATGTAATTTCATGAGCCATTAGGTGAGTGAAATTCGAGACAATTTTGAAATATCACGAGTGGTATTTATGCCACATATCACTAGAAATCATGCTATTATTTGTTTATACTACTACCCACACAAGGTTTGTAATTTTCACATGTAGGCATGCCAAATAATTATTAATTATATTATTATTATTATTAAGCTGGAATACCACTGCTCTAAGCCAATCAAATTGCAGAAATTTCTCATGTAGTAGTATAAAGGCAATTATTGCAGCTGCACGGATCATTCAGATTGCCCTGCATGACATCAGAGGTGTTTGCATACGATCGTCTTGGTCATCTAAACGCATTTTGAGATGACTCAGGTGATCAGGATGAGCCGAACAATTAGTTGGAAACCAAAGATTAAGTTTGAAAATAAACAACAAACAGAATTCAAGTATGAGTAAACAGTTTGGATTGTTTCCTTCAAACAGAGAACTTTTAAATCCAAACTGTTGACCCATCTTGTGCTTTAAACATGAGAATTTAAAATTATAATCCTAAATCATTGTGCTAATATCATACTTACACTTCTCGCTGTGTTCTTTCGATGCCAAATAGTTAACCAAAGGTGGTGTGTATGTTAAAACTTGCAAGACAGAATTTAAAAAACATGTATTCCCCATGTTATTTAATCCGGGGCCGACTCTTCGAACGTGCTTCCAAGACATTTGGACATTTTTCCACGGAAATAAAACGACCTTTGGAGAAGGCAATTCCTCGTTTGAATTTGTCTTTTCTTCAGCTCGCATAAGCTTAGCTTGACTCCCATTCATGTAGTTCGAGGACTGAGAATTCAGTGGGACGTATTTCTTTTTCAAATTTTCGTATTGCTCGTCCGCTTTTGATGCGGGTTTGAACTCAATACGTTGAAGAAGAACTTGTTTAGATGAAGACACAAGTTTTGCGTCAAGATCCGAGGCCAATTTATTGGCGATCGGTGAATCTTTGGAAAAAGTCGCTGACGGCGACGGCATGACTTGAACCGCAACCGAACTCATTTCACACGTGGGTCAGTTGTAGTCAATTGTAACGAATTACCAGGAAATCTTGGCCGCTCTTCAATTTTTCTTCTTAAGCTTACGCTTCTAAGCAGTTCCAGTGTGTTTCCAACACCTTCGCGTCCTCTGCAGCTTTGGTTGTGTAAAATGCGGTTTTCGATTTCCGTTTGAGTACGCCAAGCTTATTGCTTCAAAATGCCAGAGTTCGTATAAACTTGAGTTGTACCATCAACAGATGTAGCTTTCCGTTTGAAAATATACATGAATTCCCTTAAAATGTCAAACCGTACACTGGTGACCGGTAAAAATATGCAGGAAGCGATTGAGCCTCAAGATCCTGGTTTAATGGTTGAGAAACACTCACTTTAAAATAAACGTGTTTCTTTCTTAGAGCAAAATGGCCGCCGCTAGTCCCATAATTCATTTCGTGATTGCTACAAGCGTTTTCCGCTCTGTGTATTGTTTACAACGAAAACAACAACATCAACAACGTCTGTTTTCGCGTGCTTTGCAATTGCTATTTTTAGCTTCAAAACTTTATTGTTAATGGCCCACCAAATGAAAAATAAAAACAGCAACAGAAAAGGGTTTATAGAAAAGTACAATCATGAATGAAAATTTACATCTCTCCCCTCACAAGAGTAAATTTATCAGAGTCAGGAGCAGAATCGCAAAAGAGTGAACCTAAAGAATATCTAAAATTTTTAGACCCGCCTCAAAATGGTTTTAGGCACAATCGGCATATTCTTTGGGTTCAAAGCAGATCTTGGATAGTCAATCTGAATGAAGCCAAAAATTTTCCGAAGACAGCATGCGTAAAAACATTGGGTAGCCTGTGCTGTACCCGTAGGCTTTTGGAAAGGTAGGGGCCGGGAAGCGGGGTATAGGGGGTTAGGAAAAGGGGGAAAAGGTGGCGCGCAAATGACGCAAACGAGGCGCAGGGGAAGAGGGAGGAGCTCCCTTTCCTCCCAGTTTCTTAATTCGGGGAGGGGCCTATAATTCGGTTAATTCACCTCCCCTTTAGACCCTCGTCTCCCAGGGTTCTTTTCTATTTTAAAAAGGTAAGGCCAGATCGGACTTCTATGAATGCAACCTGAGAAAACAGCTAACATTTCGCGCTCTACCACTGGTTTCCCGCAAAATGATCGACGTCCGAAGACAGAGCGCAGAATTTCATACTGGTGACGCATACACTACCCGGATCTGGGTAGGGCTTCTGATCTAGTCTGAGTATCAGGCGTTTCTGGGGAAAAGAGGAAAGATGGTTAGCCTGAGTATCAGGCGTTTCTGGGGAAAAGAGGAAAGATGGAAGCGAAAAAGGGAGAGAGCTCTTCTCCCCCCTCCCCTCTTCCCCATCGAAAATCTCCTCTCCCCTAGCCCCTTAGGAAGGCCTGATACTCGGCCTACTTCTGATGGGTCGTGTTGTGTAAGGAGCCCATAACCAGTAGCGAGCAACTCCATACTAGGCCTATGTCACGGCGTTTTTAAGGACCATTGTATTTTTAGACACATTTTAGGGCCTTTTTTTCCCGCGAAAATAGAATCTCCACCACGGTCTATGAGCGCATTTGAAGTATAATATATCAGAAAGCGCCCTGGGGACGAGGTTGAAACTACACGTTATTAAAAGGCAAAAAAAAATCATTTTTAGGTCTGTAGGTTTTGCTGACTGGTTTGTGGAATTTAAAAGATATTCAAAATAACCAAAACCGTTCTGAAAAAAAAAAATAGTCCGTAAAATTCCCAATTACAAGCGCTTGGAAGTTGCTCTCCCCCGGGTCATGGGCTCTTGGCTCCTGGTTGTGTGGGAATTTTGCTTCAGCCAATCAGAAGCACTATTCAGATATGGGTAGTGACACGTCATCGGTATGGAATTTCTGCGCTCGTTTCTCAGACGTCATTTCGCGGGGAAAGCAGTGGTGGCGTTGCGAAAATGACGGCTGTTTTCTCAGGCCACTATGAATCGAATAGGTAAATTATTTGCCCAATATTTTGGTTAATTAGGCAAATAAATTAACCATTCATAGCTACCCGATCAGCCTTGCCTCTAATTTCTTGTTTGTTGATCCTGATCAAGATCCGGCTTCTCTTTGCTGCTGTCTGGTTGTCCAAGTGGTCCCTGCAATAACTGTTGGCTTTTTTCTCGGAACAGAAGCATCGAGAGCATCGTCTCCTGCCTTAGAAAGTGGGAGGGGCTTTTCTAGGCAGTCCCATGGGGCCAGATTCTAAGGAAAATGCTCTAGTAACGAGGTTGCGACTCAGATTCTCTACAAGCAGTGATAATACTAAATCAGTACAAGTTCTACACTGCTCATGAGCACCTTATCCTAAAGTCGAAATATATAAGCGTCAAAGGGCGTTAAGTGATCCGCATAATTCTTTAAGTCACACTGCACCCATCAGCCTCAATCCAATAATTGTTAATTATCAGTACCATGAACCATTATCATCTAAAGATAAAGTTCTCAACAAAAGGCAGAATCCTTCAGGGTTTTTCTTGCTTTTGAAAACTAAGGGCTTTTGCTTTTCAAACCTCGCTGGGACTATTAAATTTAAATGCGAAAGGAAAAACGAAAAGGTTTCTGGTCGTAGTAGTAAAATGTCGTCATCGTGCAAAAGGCCTATCCACCCTCGACAATTTTGATGGTTGACGTCGCGTCTGAAATTGCCGGAGGAAACTGGGAACGAGGCTGGGACTCCGCGTATGTAGATGCTTCCCATTTCAGGGGCGCTAGAAACAAATGTTTGCTTCCTATAAGGAAAAAAGTTAATCCAGGTTCATCAGACTTTGCAGCTTCCCCTAGTTACTGTGTTAAGGGTATTCTTGCATGCTTGCCTGGACCAAATTTTGCTTTGGCATGTGTGGTTCTGAAGCAAACAAACTCTACTGACGGACGCTGAGACTGACCAATCAACTGACTTTAGTGGCTACGTCAAACAATGTCTAATGTTTGTCTTCTGGCTTCAGGGATGAAAAAAAATGTTGAAGTAAACGCAACGAGGCAAATTGAAAAAAAAATGTTTTATCGCATTAAAATGGACAAAACCACAATACAATTTCAACATTGATAATCATATTATCACTTTAAAGAACGGTATTGAATGACTGTTTAAAATAATTTGCTTTCTACAAGTTGCTTTAGTTTGCTAAGGATCGCGATTTCAACAAGGTGAGGAATTCGGCTAGATGGGATTTTTTTGACTTCGCTGGCAACAATAGCACACGTTCGATGTGTAACAGTTCTTGAATGATTTCGAGGCTTTAGGGACACAATTGCAAATTTTTCACGACTCCATTGTTTCGCAATTCCCAGAAGAGATTTGAGCACAAAGAAAACCAAACCAAATATAGAAAAATGACCAGAAAGCCTCGGAGTCATGTTAGAATTTTAATATATCGAACGTGGGCTGTTACATAACAATTTTTAACCACTTAAGTTTAGGTAAAATCCATATTTTTTCATGTTTTTAATAATAAAATTGACTGTTAAATCGGTAAAATATTAATTGAATGCCTTCTTATACAACTGTGCATTTGTTTTACATTTCCCTGTTAATAAGACAAATAATTTTGTTCATAAGGTTATCCGTATATATTATTTTCAAATCCGAAAGAAAAGTAGCCATTTATAACAACGTGAAAGAACGCAACCAAACATGTTGAATAAAACTCGGTCATGAAGAGACAGTGTTACATAAGGATTTGACATGCTAGACAATTTTGATATTTGCATCAAAATGGGGTTATTAAAAATCTTGTTTGTAAAAGTTTAAAACACTGTTGGACTTCATAAAAAGGATTGTGAATACGAATGTAGTACCAGGCTCCTTGCTGGTCCTTTTCTAGATTATTTCTTAGCTAGTGACGCATTTTGTGCACTTTCCTCCCAAACTACCTGGCCATACTGATAATTGCCTAAGTATTTAAAATAATCTCTTAAAACGTGTAAGAGAATACCAATGCAATTATGATACAAATAAAAAAGACAATGGAGGCAAGAAAAACGAGTGAAATTGGAGAAGATTATAGGGGATTGCAAAACATAGGCCCACCTTCCTTTGTATGCACAAAAGTTTGGTTTCATTCTCGGAGTTCACCGTTGCTCTGATTTCGTCAATAAAATACTCCTGACCTAATCAGCCTGGGTGGTAGGCCAACCTCGTTCCCAGGGTCCGGGAAACGAGTAACAGAGGACCCTGGCAACGAAGTTGCGGGGCTGGCCCTTTTGAAGGGGAAGGGAAAATTAAGGCGCGCGAGAATGGGGGAAAGCCCGTCGCACGCGCGCACTTAATTTAAGCTAGGTACACACCATACCAGTTAGCTTTTGCGTCGGCACGGAAACAATACCACATACAGCTTCATATGAATACTGACTCCGCCGCGATTTCTGTAATGGGGCAAAGCTGCACCGCACCAGTCTCGAAAGTGGAGTGTCATAAATAGGTTAGGTTCTGTGCCATATTCCAACCTTAGCGGTGTCACAGTGATATGGGCATGCCCTGTAACCCTAACCCTAACCCTAACCCTAACCCAAATCGCTAAGGTAATATGAGAAGGGGATGCCCACATAACTATGGTTTTGGGAATGGAGATGTCCAAAACGCGGGGATGCCCATATCACTGTAACAGCGGAAGTGAATAAATAGACGCGAGCACTGAAAGCCTCTGAGACGGAAGTAAATATCCAGGAGTAAGAGCTAGTAAGGACAGACAGACATAGCCTTTCTCGTGCGACTTGGGTTGATTCTCCCCGGCTCCCTGCCCATTTAAACGCTTTCCACGCAGCCGAACCGTGACCTAGCCCTGTCAAATTCATGACGAAGATTCATACGCTGTTAATTCATCGTGTTTCACAGACCAGTGTAATTCAGTGAACGTCTTCTAGAAGATTCCTTCTTGACTTTTTGTGGTGGAAACGGTTCACTGCGTGAGCAAAAGAAAAATAAAAAAAATTAACTATAAATTCATTGAAATTAAAACGAGGCCACACAAAACAGAAAAGTCAAGGCTCAAAAGCATTTAATCAGTTTGCCTACTTACGCAAAGAAAGGGATAATTTGCAGAAGCACTGCTTTTGAGGTGTTTTCACGTAATTCCCGATCATCTGTTACGTACAGATTTACTACTCTTCTTAAATAATCCTGCAAAAGTCTTCTGCGGTCTTCCACGAATCGAGAGTCCTGTGGGGAAAAAAAGAGATATTTTTCACCTCCATTACCTCGCCTGGTGCATTCGTTTTTTTCCACCTCCCAGTAACAAAACTGAGATAATCTCTAGGTAGATTTTCCCCCGCCCTAACTAATGGTTCTGAATCCTTGCGAGTGAAAGACGATTTTGAAACCAACTGTAAGGTTACGGCCAGCATCAAAATCGCTGAGAAAAAGACCCACCTCCATAAACATAGAGAGATTTAGAGTCACGCTTACGGTAAACGGCAAACGGTGAACGTGTATTTGTACTCCGTGATCATATTTTCCCTTTACTTGTCTTAAACTGTTCTTCACTTCTACAAAAAATAAGTACAGGGTTCGTACAACTTTTTAGATCCAAAATTCAACACTTATTCCAGACTTTTTCCCAAAAAGTAACTTCTTTTTCCAGACTCAAGGTTTAACAAATAGGTGATCAACAGTAACCTTAAAAAACGCAGAAAGAAAGCTTTTCTTGTGGTGCACTGTAAACATACGGGCGAGGTTGAATAAGATTTGACCAAAACGAAAACAAGTTCCCTTATAAAGCACTTCTTGAAGCTTTGAAAAAAAAAAAAAACAACTTAGGACTTTTTCCATTTTCTCCATAATTTATCTCTATCTTCCGGACTTTTTCCAAGTCTGGAAAAATGCTGGGCAAATCTCAAGACTTTTTCAAGAATTCAAGACTCTGTACGAACCCTGTAAGTAGTTTCACGTTATTTTCATCTATAGGAATTGTTTTACACTATTTTTATCGGCTTATTTTCTATTTTGAGAAATTCTCAAATGAGTCTGTTGTTTGCCGTTCGCCGTTAATGTGACTCGAGGCCATGTCCACACGTATACTTGTACTTACTTTGTTACCAAGCGTCTTCTTTGGTGGAAATTTAAAGCTTTCTACTACTTGGGATTTTCTCCGTAACTACAAAAATTAACACAAAGAATAAATGTCACAATCAACAGCGATAAAGAATAACAATAACTTACAGAAATCCAACCATACAAATAAAAACACTCGGTCACGCAACGCTCCTCCTCCTTCTCCTTCTTAAGGAAGAGCGTTGCGTGACGAAACAAAAACGACCTGGCCGGAAACTACAGTATCCAATTGAAAATTGTAAACGGGGAAGACGGGTAAGAGTTAAGAATTTGTGGCGTTCCCGCGCATGATCTTCGCCTTCCCGTGACGATTTCCAATTAACTTTAAAGTTGTGCCTATGGATTTGTATTACTTTTTACAACTTGTTCGGGGTCACACTTACATTTTTATGCATTTCAAAAAACTGCGAATATCTTCGATAAATGTTCCACTCGTCGTCCTTTATTCTTACGTACACCTAAAGGAATTCAAGGAAAAATTTCAGTAATGTCAATGGTACAAAACTGACATTGTTACATTGCTAGATTTTTTCAGTTTCCAAACAGCGCGCTCTCTCAGCAGTTACTTGGAGGTCACATGACATCTAACAGAGAAAGTTTCACCCACCATAAAGCTTCTGACCGGGCAACATTGTTGTCACACGGCAACAGTAAACTGTTGCCCGCTAAAGTTCAAACAAAACAAATTGCTTAAAAGCTAACTTAACGAGTGCCAACGGTAATTTGCGGATGGAATTTTGTCAGTGGCATATTGTACACGTCTCGCAACTAGAAATTTCAGTGCAAGTTGGAAATAAATCTCCTGTTTTCTCCCATTACGAAGACTATATTAACACTAAACTTAACTTGCTTAATATTAGGACAACGTATTGTACTTATTTCATAATTTCTAACAATTTCATTTGGGCTCAACACTCAGAAGAATTTTACAAACTTTTCTTTGGTGTTGCGTTATAAAAAGCAACAAAAATAAAATCACTTATGAAAGCCCCGTCGTACCTGATACACGTGATGTACATTTGATGAGCGACCACGCAAAAATACAGATGGTATCCATACGTTCACTAAGGGTCTGGTACCGATTGACATGACTGTGGGGTCAAAGTCCGTAAGGCTTGTTGAATCACTAAGACTTTCTGTATCTTCTGGAAGCTGGGAAAGAAATCGAAAATATAGATAAACAGATGAACGATGAAGCATGTGGGCAACAAAACCTCGTAAGTTAAACGCAGTGTAGAGTAACCCGTCATTGTCAACGTGGGTGCTCTCCAATTACCAGTACATTCTGTTAATTGCAGTAGGGATGTATATGGTACGCGAGTTTCCAGTGGAAAATTTCCGGGAGCAACGGAACATCTGAAAAGGTAGTTCTGTTTTTTTTTGCGGACGGGATGTTCCAAACGGAAATTCGTGTTCAAAACCTATCTTTGATACCAGTTTCAAGGTTTCGCGGCCGTTCAGTTTTCGGTAAATGGAACTGGTTTGTGCAAATTGTAAACGCGATTCTGAAATGACTTTTTAGACACTGACAGGTTGCTAAGAAAAATCCAAGTTCTTATAACAGTAGGGGTGAAATGTTCGGTATGGATCATTAAACGTTTCATAACATTTCGCTTCTACTCTAAGAGAATTGCCTAAACTTACCGGTCCTCTGAGATTAACAAGTTCTTCTCGTAGTCTTCTCACTTGAAGCTGATAATAACCAACTTGTTTGTGTAGCCTTTCGTTGAATTCTAGCAGTTCACCATGCAAATCCGCAACCTTCCAAATAAAACAGAAAAACGTGCTAAGAAACCTTGGCGACACTCGTGCAGTTCCTTTTTGGTGCTAGCAATAGTTGTTTAGTCTCGCGCGTTTGGAACGCCTTTCAACCAGGGCAGATAAACCGCCGACGAAACGGGTAGGGGACCGCGCTTTTCTCCCCTCTCCCCTCCCCTCCCTTTTTTCCACCTGCCACGCAGGCTACTAACGACTGACTACGTTTGGTCGTCTTCGCCCGCTGTTAATGCTGCACTTTTTGCTGAACGAACGCTCTCTCACCCTAGTGCATGCTTCACCGTACTTAACCTTAGATGCGCAAGGCACAGTTGTCTCCTAAACATCTGGGACGAGTAACGCATGCGTAATCGATAGTAAATGAAGTCACATTTCACTTTTTCACCATTATTACCTGAATTAACTTCCTTTTGTATTCTTCTGCCTCTTCACTGCAATTAAAAATAAAACAATGATGTTTAGTCAAAGATTGTTCCTTTAGAACTAAGTTGATTGCTACCATATTAAAAACAGCGAACAAATTAAAAACCTGCCTCGCATGCTCTGTCGCTTGCTCTGGTGGCAAAGGAGGTAGAATTTCTTCTTGCCTTATTCCCGACAAAACTGCAAGGAGAAGACTATATCAACGACGATAATCCAGTGATGCTATAAATTTACCGTCAACCGGTCCCCTGAACAATTACTGGATTTAACAAGAGATAGACATCAGTTTATGTTTTGACATGAGGGCAAACCATAATGGTTTCAGAGCAATTTTTCTCAAGTAAACAAAAAGTGGTAGTGGTAGTGATAGTGGTAGTGGTAGTGGTAGTGGTAGTGGTAGTGGTAGTGGTGGTGGTGGTGGTAGTGGTAGTGGTAGTAGTAGTAGTAAATCGCACTGATTCTGCTCCTTGAAGAACGAGAATAGTACCCCTAAAACAAGCCCACACCCTTACCTTCCGCTGTTACAGCTGACTTGTTTCCTTGTAGATCACTCCTCAGCGCCTGTACTGCTCCAACGTATTTCTTCAGCTGATGCTTCAAGAGCTCGTTTTCTCTGCAAATCAGTCACATGAAACCCTTTAAAACTTATATAAATTCTTTAAGCGACCACGATTGCAACTTTCGTAATAGCCTCGTACGCTCACGTCCTTTTGACTTCCTGGACGCGTGACGAAGCCCTAGGAGCGTCTGCATGGGAGGCTAAGGTAGCAAAGAACGAGGCAAAAACAACGGAGCTAATAAGTAAAATAATTGTATCGATTTAAATGATCCTTTCTCGCCTTTTACGTCGGGAGAAGTAAAATTTTTTTGTGATTGTGTGTGACTGCCTTCGCGAATAAATTTTCCGCGGAAAATTTAGTCTCGCCATGAAAATTAATAGCCAATACAACCAGGAAAGTGGCTATGAGATTTCCAGACACTCTGCACGCAGCGGCTACAGCAGAAAACAAACAAACAGACAAACATATAATTTTTTTTTCCACAGCGCATACAACCACGACCAAATACATTCGAACGTGGGTTTTAACGGGGTAGTTGGGAACATTTCCTTTGCGTCCCTTCCAAAAACAACAAAGTCAAATTAAAATTTTTGAAGAAAAAGTAAAGACAAGAAGACTATCTTTCCTTTCTCTTTGTAACATTCAAAGCTTTCTTCTTCAAAAATTAACATCCTAGATAATCCAATCAACTTGGTCAACTTGAGACCGAATTATATATAGCCATCTACATTTTACACCTTCTGGATTTTCTTTCAACACCCTGTTTCATACCTTGAAAGAGACGCTATCTTGGCTGCGTTGAAGTTTTCTTGTTGTTTAATCTCCTCTCGAAGCTTTTCATTCTCAGAGTCAAGCTGCTGAGATTTCTGGCATTCTTCATCCAAACGACTCTGCAATTTCCTACAGAAAATTTAAGCAGAGTAACTAAGAGCAACAATTAATGTGGTTTATTATTCATTCAAAACCTTCCTCCGTTTCTGATTAGCTCTACCCTGCGAGCAAAGGCTTTATTTTCGGTTTATGAGCTGGCGTGCGAAAATTACTTTTCGCACCCCAGCTCATACCGCGAAAATGTAGCGTCAGTCTGCTAGCAAGATAGATTGCCTCAAATCACTGGGATAATTCTTCATAACCAACTAACGTTGAGCATTATTTGGAAGACGTTTGCGATATCCTGCAAAATGACGTCAATAGTTATGGATATCGCCAGAAAAACAGACGGCAACCGAGACGCCCTGGGGACGAGATTGCGATAGCTAAGTTGTTTTGATTAAGTTGGAGAACACGTCTTGCGAAGAAGAAATAGCCGAAATACTGGCACAAAAATAACAAAAACAGCAAAAATACAACTCAGCTCAAAGAATATCTGCTTGACTGAACATTCCTGTATAGCCAAACTTGCTACAAGTCGACCTCTCGACACCCTCCTCGATCTCCATAATTCTTCAGATGATACTCAGCCTCATTCAATAACTGAATGAGGAGACGCCAGGATTAAGGGTGCTTATTTCACTGTAAAAACGCTCTGAACGCAATCACATGCACAACTATCAATATTTCTTCTTTCCTTGTGACCGGGCAGTGTGCAAAGAAAGTCGTGTCCGATAGCCTGAGGCTAGTGGGTTTTGCTAACAGGGGATTGAAATTTGTTCTTAACTTGCCCAACAGGCAAGTGAAGCTTTTTGGGGAATTCAAATTACAGAAGAAATGAAATTAATCCTGCTCTTCAAAAAAATTTTCGGGCTAGCTAGAGCTTACCCGAATGGCAAGCCGTAAAACTGACTTTCTTTGCACCCGGCTGGGCTTGTGCTTGCGTTCGTGTTGTGCCGTGTGAAAACGAAACACAGCATAAGCACAGGGCCGACTATTACATCTGGCCAGTTAAATCGCGAGCTCCAGCTTCACTCGTGTGAGGCAGGCGTTTCTCCATGAGTAAACAAACCTGTTTTGTTCTTCAATTTCGTCTTTCCTTAGCATCATTGACACCATGGCTTGCTTGAGTTCAGCTATGGAAAAAAATTACATAATCATTGTTATCATTGACTTATAAACATTAAAGAGCACAAAGTCCAATATGGGCATGGGATGAGAAACCGGTTTCAACATGCAAAGGATCGGGTCAGTCTTGTCTTGCAGTGAAAGAGCATACAGTCAAAACCCGTGAGTAAGAACCTGTTAGGCTAAAATTTGCCTGTTAGGCCCCCTCTATAAAAAAACCTGTTTAGCTTAAAATTTGAAAGAGGTTCTTACTCTCTAAAATCTATTTAAAAATTTTGGCAAATAAGATAAGTCAGCATTCAGGATCCTCTTCGAAGACAAAGGTACCTTATCACTCCAAGTGCAATGTAATAGTATGCACATTTTATATAAGGAATAGGCTAAATACCACAAATTTATACTCTTAGCTATAAAGCATTTTTTCCTCGGAAAATAAGAATCTATTTAAGAACCTAAATAGCCTAAATTTGTGCTAATTATTACTTATATAAGAATCTGTTTAGGCTAACTTGGGAAAATGCAGGTTCTTACTCGCGGGTTTCTAGTGTTTTTGGCTGAGCACGCCGCTCTTAACATTTCCTGTGTGACCCTACGAAAGCTACGTTGAGCTACGTTGTAAGTAGGACTGGAGAAAAGTAGGGAGTGAGACTAAAATTAGCCTTAAGCTATCTCAAGCCGCCCATTTTTATATCGAACATAGATTAATTTTGATCATAAAGAAAATTGTTTTAAACTTTATTCCTAAAAACCGGAATTGTCAGTTGGGAGGTGGGCATAATTTACCTGAAGTCATGCCGTCGCGCCTCTTGTGGTCATCTCTCTACAAAAATTCAAAACACAACGCTAAGCCCTCAGTATATAGCAAAACGTTAGTCTTGTGGCCGGACTGAGTTGGTAGAATAAACTGGCCACCGCAGAGATATTGAGAAGCTGACCTCTCGAGCGGTAACCCTTTGTCATTAGCGCTCAAAACATTACCTTTTGAATCACTTTGCAATTAAACATGGTTAATACAGTGCAATGGTTATGAGGCCCATTAGAGGTCTTTGTTAGATGATTTTGTTAGCTTTTTTGGACTTAGCCGAGCACAACGTTCAATAGAACTCCTATCATGTAGAACGAAGAAAAGAAACACTGAAAAAGAATAGAAAACTTTCATTATTTTATTCAGTTACAATTTTGGACCGCTTACGTCCACTTTTCTCTTAGATCTGAAGAGTTCTTAGATAGTGAGCGCGAAACGGACTGGGGCGAGACTAGAAAATTATTGTTCTTCCTCCTCGGGCTTTGCTCCCTCGTTTCTCGCGGCTCGCGCGTCTTACTCCAGCGACTTTGAAGCAAATAGAAGACTGCTCGCGGTCTATCAAATTTGTGAACAAAAAACAAAGGATTTTGCAGTGTCAGAGAACTTCTAACATAAACTGCAGCACCGCTGTTTTGGGTAATCTTTGTTATTTGCCGGCTTTCATAACTGATCAGTATCCTCAACTTACCATGGTTTAAAATAGATGAGAAACCGGCAAATTTTGGCGTATTACATCTCCACCGATGCAGTATCAGTTTCTTTAAAGCCTTACCCCAGCATATGGCGAGTTTTATTATGTCAGACTTGTCGGTCAACTTATTATTAACCTTCCTTCAAGTATCATCTACATGATGCTGTGACTAAACACTACTTCATGTTAGTTTTGCTGAAACGCCGCCCTCCAAGCGATAATAAGGGTCTTTCCCGTTTCGTTTATTTGTTGTCCAAAAAGGGACTACAAGTTTTATCAGCACAAGACTTGTAAACGAATCCCGGAGGCGACCTCATATCTGCCTTATGTGGCTTGAGATTGCTCTTGGTCGTGGTACTTGCTTTCTCCGGGTACTCCGGTTTTCAACTCTCCTCAAAAACAAAAAAATTCTAAAATTCTAATTCGATCAGGGCCCTGTTTCTCGAAATTCAAGGTAACTATCAAATATTTAAATCAAATCCCAGGAACTGAAGCGCCGGTCCGAGCTAACAAACCAGTACATTTTGTCCAGTTAACTGATAGTTTTATCATGTTATCTGCAAAACTTTTGAGGCCTCTACACTGAATGTAAACATTAATTATCGGTACTTTTGAGAAACAGGCCCCAGGAATGGTAGACGAAGAACTACTTCGTAGATTTGGTACCAATAAATCGCTATTAAATATATAAACAAACTACTAATAAATTAGTTGATAAATACTTACTCATTTTATTTATTCCTAAAACGTATGTGTCGGTATTCTAAGGGCCTGTTTACATGAAGGTGGGGGACCCCAGGTAGGTGAAGTAACCCGCGGCTGGTCACCCCACCTATCATGTTAACGTGATCAAATTAAAATGAAAGATTATATGTTATGTATAGGTTAACCCACCTAAGCGGGTTACCTCACATACCTGGGGTCCCCCACCTCCATATAAACAAGCCTTAAGGTGATAGGCAGCACACGATATCAACTCACCCGCACATTTTGATCTCCAGTCATCGTCGCTCCCACCGTGATAAGGCCACTAAGTAAGCAAACAACAACAACCATACTGTTACCAACGGTTTTATCCCAAACTCTCCTCAATGCAATTACAAATAATGTACGGATAAAATAATGTGCAATTATAAATAATGTACGGTAAAGAGAATTAGTTACCTGGCCATATTGTCCATTCCTCTCTGTGCATCAGAGCATGCCGCCAGCGCAGCCGCAGTTGAGGCATCTGATGCCATGGCAACAGAGCTGCCATTGCTATTCAAAAGAGGCTCGCTTCTGATTTCAATGAGTCCATCGGAGTCTTCAACAAAAGACCAGCTAGGGCTGTAAGATAATCATAAAACCAGCTGTTTTTATTAATCAAGTCTCAAGAGAGAACAATGAGACAGAGATGAATTCTTAGGGCGTTGGCCGGGATGTGTAAATTTCACTAAAGTTATTTTTAGAGGTTGTAAGAGACCTTTTTACCGATACGGCGGCCATATTGAATTTATTAGATTTAAGCAGAGTATTATGGGATGCCAAGAGGGCACTCGCTCATTATTTACGCGCGCTTTTCGGGCAAAAAAAGAACTTCCATGTTTATTTCTCGGGCAAAAGGCGATCATTATTATATCCAAACACGGCACAACGATCTTTTTTTCCCGTTACAATCTTTCAATATGGCCGCTGTATCGGTAAAAAGGTCTATTAAGCGGAAGTCTAAGATCTGAGACGTGCGCACATATTAATGTATGTTTGAAACGTCATTAACTCCCCGCGCGACTGCCTCAAAACAAACAATAAAGAATATTGTAATGATGACTGTTGAATTCTCTTTTGACAACCCTGAATGAAAGTTTTATGGACCTCTCTGGAAAGCAACTTCTGATTAATTTCAAACGTTTAATTGGTCTAAAAATAACTATGAAATTCAAATATCCCAAGGGATTGACTGGGCGTTTCCCTATCTGTCCCATAGTTGTTTCTTGAAAGCATACATTTATTGCAGTATTACCCTGCGAGTAAGCTCTATGGGGCGCTCTGGCGGCGGAGGGGTAAAAGGAAGGAGAGCTTGCAACTACGTCTCTGAAATTTCAATTCCACCCCTAGATCCCCTGTGGCACGCCGTCCACTGAGCTGTCAGATTTCCGCCAATCAGGGCGAAGCGGAAACGAGCGCGAATGTCAACAAACATTGAAAAACACGTGCCAAGGGTAATGACGTCATTTCTAATGAAATCTCCGCCAATCAGCATTTCGCATCGACTCTTTCGATGCAGATATTTAAATTGCAGACACGCAGTTGCAAGCTCTCCTTCCGGCTCTCCTTCTGGGCTTTTCCTGTCCCGCCTCCAGAGCGCCCCAGAGAGCTTCCTCGCAGGCTATTGCAGCATCAATTCAAACATCTGGTATTCTGGCCTTATTTTGAAAATGGAACTACAGCCCAGTCGCAAACATAAATCCGAAGGAAATGACGAGGGCCCATAACTTACAGTAAAGCGGCGTTTCCCTTCCCCACCCAGAGACTCATCGAGAGCTATCCCCCACCCCCCAGGGTATAGTAGTCTTTCTTGTCCCATACGGAAAAAGGTCTCTCCTAATTGGTCGTAGGAAACAATGACATGTCATTCTTCCAATTGTTTTAGTATTGTTTGGGGTCAGGGAAACGCACCTTTGGTGACTTCTCGTCCGAGCAGCTACTACATGACCCCCCATCCGAATTTCGTGTGTTATTCAGCGGTTAAAATTCTAACCTTAAGAGGGAGTCACGGTCGTTCTCTCCTGAAACGTCTGGCGAGTAGAAGGAAATGGAATGGGTACCAGTCCTAGACGTAACATCGCCTTCTGCAACAGGCACAAGAGATTCTCCACTGTCCAACAATATGACAGGTTCAAACTTACTATCACTTGCACTGGGCTCTGCTTCAGGGCTTGGCGCTGAATCAAAATAATCCAAAGAACTACTTGTGTCTTTATACGGGTCTTTACATTCCGATGTTTTGTGCTGATCTTGTATTTCCAAAGGACTTTCCCTGAGATCCTGGTGTTCCTGTGTGTCAGCTTGAAGACTGCTTTCATTTGGATGGTTGAGGTACGGTGGCATATTTCTAATTTTTGCCTCCGGATCGGCAGCTATTTCCTTTACTAAACCAGGTATTTTTGCGTGTTCAAGAGTGGAATTTGATTTCTCATTATCCTTCTCTGCTAAACTACGCGTATTGGCAGAGTCATAGTTTTCTTTTGAGTAAGGCAAATTGTGTTCTTTCGAAAAATCCGACGTGACTGCACTTGAAGCTTTTGACCCAAAATTTTCACCACAAAACTCATCCTTCCTTTCAGGCAAATCTTCTCTGGGTAGCATAGAACTTCCTTGGGCGATACGTAAGGAATCATTAGTTTCTTCTGAACTGGTTGGTATTAACGATGTCTTGAGGTCACTTTGAATCTGAAATGAGTTCTCCTCTTCAAAACCAACCTTAGGATGATTAAAAAACAGATCCGCAGCTTCGAAGACAAAATTACCCGTGTCCTCCCCTGAGGGTGCCTCCTGCACACCCTCTCCCTCAGTATCAGATCCAGTTTTTAGAGTATCTCGTTCTAAAAAGTCTTCAAATTTAAAACTTCTACTTCCACTCGTTGTCGAATTATCTAACTCAATGTTTTCCTTGGCAACAGAGTTATCAGGCAATGAAATTGGCTTAGTAATCTCAGTAAATACAACTTCTTGTCCGTTCACACGAGAAGATTTTACTGCCGAGCCTTCAGAAACCACGGTAATGTTACCGGGGTAAGATGAAGAGCGGGTGTGACCAATACTTGAAGAATTCCATTCAGAAGATAAATGCATAGTCTCTTTTTCTGAGGTGTCGTTGGATGAATTCATAGTCTCTTTTGCCGAGATGTCGTTGATGTGAAATTCATTCAGATCGCTTGTTAAATCCTCTTGGTTTTCGCCTTCTTCAATGGAGACAATTGCAGCATTTCGCTTCTTTTTCTTCTTCTTTTTCTTTTTTTCTACTTTTGCATCGTCTACGGAGAACACCAAAAAAACACTTCAGAAGT